TGTAGAAGGTTTTCTTCTACAGTTAGTCTATCGTTTTGATAGCAGTGATAGTGACATCGTCCAAGCAACAAGGCGACGAGAGAAAGAGTTCGCATAGATAGCGATTACAACAACAAAACAAAATTATAAAACAAACAATAACAAAATTATAAAAAATAAAATATTGATCTTTTTGCAAATTTCTCGATTTCAGCCAATTCATATAAGTCCAATATCATGATAATATGTTAGTTAGTTCCAAAACCATACTAAATAATACGAGGGTCTGTAAATGCCCGTTTCTGCCGAAAAATGGCGCTGAGTAGCTGGTAGCCAACGTCCAGAATGGTTCGGACTGCTAAGGGTTAAGATTCGAGATCGAGCGGAGAAGTGCAAAACACGGGGAAGGTTCCTCGAAACGGTCTCTTTATTTCACATATAAAATATGAAGACACATTAGCGCGGATTAGAAGTGAGCTGTCAGTACATGGAGCCCTTATCCTCGGGGAGCAAGAAGTAGATCGTCACGTCGCCCTGGGTGGTTTTCACCGTCTCCTGGTGCTTGATCAACCATATAGCAGCCATGCCGTACATCAGCGTGGGTATACCTAATGGAACAAATATGGAATGCAAATTGACGAATGATCAATTACCGAGGCGACGTATCGTTGGCTATTCACGAATGGGAGAAGTGTCAATGAAAGGAGACGTTGATCGCAGAAGGACAATGATATCTCGACGGGGCGTGTGCTCTCCCCTGTTCCAGCTGCGAGTGGGGAACGGTATGCGAGATCACGTACCAAGGTTCACGAGCTTGATCGCCTTGAAAAATTTGTCCTCGTCCCTGAGGTCCTGTCGTGGCCTCTTGGTGCAGTGATATTTAATGTATGGAAAACAGCCGGTTCTAAGTACGTGGTAATTGCTGCTGCCTACAGGCCAATTGAAGTGCGACATGCCCCTCTGATCGTTGATGATGTCGGCGTACTTCACGAAGTACGACGTCCACGGTGGCTCGTTCGTTTGCCGCAGATAGCTCGTTAAGACCTGTTTGTACCGTAATGACACCGAGTCACTTTGTATATCCCCTCATCCATCTGCCGGATGAATCCGTCTTTCGTCGATCATTCGCGGCCACGCAAGGGTGCTTCGCTACCGTTAGCCGCGGCGAGGGCTCTATTGACGTTCGCTTATGCCGATTTAATTGAAACGTTATTTCATTCGAGGCAGTCGGCAAAAAGAGAAGCTGGATAGCTCGGCGATCTTCCGTAAGCCGCATTCCGCGAGCCAATGGCTCCGAAGGAATCCAATCGATAGAGAAACGCAGGAATTCTCACGGTCATCGATTGCGATCGCGACTTTATGGGGACATAAATGCTTCGAAATGTGTAGCGATTCAATGGGGTGGCGACTCGCGGTGTGTCGCTTGTATGGATATTCGGTATAAAACTTGTTACTTATGAACCAATTAATTTTCGACATCCCAATACTTTTTTAAGGAGGATACAAAGATATATCGATTGGCGCATACAAATATATTAATTTATTTAAACAAATTATTCATAAAATAACGTTTTTTTTTACGATACTCGCTGTTGTAATTTGATGTCAATTGAATATCGATTAACTTTTGTTCGAAACATTATTTTATCAAATCGGTCGAAATGCCTGAAAAATTGTGACGAGTACAAAGCTACGGGTAAACATCATGTTTCGCGTTTTAAGAAACACTATATACACATATATTAATACAGAAACGTAGTTTATAAATGTATAAACTACGTTTCCTTCTGAACATTTTATCATAAATAAACGCGATAGTTAGATTACATTAATTACGAATTTGACAATTTTCTTTATTTCGGGCAATTCGGGCAGCTGAAATTGACATCAATATAATTTTTGCTAATTTTTCGTAAAGTCTAATTATAAGTCGATAAACATTATAGTACTACATATAATCTGTAAAAATTAAATTAAAAGCGTGAAACATTTTGTCAATGATAATGATTGTGTGTAACATTAAAATTCTCAACACTTTACGATACAAGATTTTGTGAATTAAACGTTTTAGGTGTTTGATTTGAGCCGTTTATTTTGAAAGTGGCATAAGTCACTTTTTCAAAAAAATCGAGTTAATGGTAACACTAATTGCAATTGAACGGTATCTTTTCATTTTAAAAAAATTTTCAATCAATAATTTGAGAACTATTGAGATTTGTTCGAGAGAAGTTTTGCTAATTAACGGCATAACAAATATGTTTATTTTGAAAGTGGCGTAAGTCGCTGTACTCGGGAAATTAATTGCGGGGCTTAGTGTAAAAGAAATAGAAACGTGTGATAAGTGTGTGTGAAGTATTGTTTTGAATTATTTTCAGTATTTTTAAAAAAGTTGTGATCACACTGGACTTATTTTTATAAGTGCGAAAGAATGGTGCAGTTTTGTAAATTATATTATAGTGATGTGGCGGATACCTCCAGACCCGCCAGCAGATGGCTATAAAATGTTTTATAAACTAACTTTAGATGAAAAAGATGAATTTCTAACTTTGGATTTGTCACCAAAAAGAGGAAGACCTAGGCGTTATTCACAAATAGAAATGGGTCCGTTATACGCTGGATCTCGTCCTGTTTCTTCAGCAAAAT